TTATATAGGATAAAATACATGGAAAAGCCAAAACTGGCAGTAAAATTACGTCATGGTCACGTGGTCATGACCATGATACACAGTCACATATTTAAAATAATGAATAAACATAATGTATATTAAGATCTTAGTTAAAAATTGTGCATAGAGTTAAAATAATAAAAAAACAAGTAATTGAGAATGAAAATGGGCGTGAGAATCAGATCTCTGTTACATTTGGCAGTAGTCTTTTGCAGTCAGTCCATGATTAACAAAACAGATCAAATGTTTTCAATAAACAATATATATGAGCAACATACTACAGATGTTACAAAATATACATTCCCTTGGAAGTATTTTGTTTTCCACAGATATGCACAATTTATAATGGAAGAATACTTTTTGGAGTATGTAGTTATTCTTGAGTGTTTTCCGAGAAACACATCATCTTATTTGAAAGACATCACACTATTTCTTCAAAACAGGCACAGATGCAAAACTCTAATTATTATCTTCATATTCCTCCAATACTGGATCAATTAACCACCAATGTTCCTCCTGATCACATCTGCCTTTGAATAGTAACTCTGGAATATTTAAACAAAGGATCTATGGAATTCCATGCAGCTTTAATCAACATATGATCCTCCTCTATCAAGTAGGATACTAACACTCATTGTGGGGAAAAGTTTTAATTTTATTTTGGTTATCCTCTTGCAGCAGAATCTTTTTAGTTATTCAAGTCAGTAATAATTCTGACTTAAATCTTGCCCATGCTTTCTCCACCATTAATGTAGGACATTAGCTAATCTTGAGATGTTTGTTTGTCACATAGAGTTCTAATAATCAAATCAGATTGTCTTGCAGCCAATAAAATGTATATTTATTCAAACATACACGCCATCCAAAAGTAACATAAATCCTTTGTACACATCTGGACCAAATACAGCAATGTGTCTCCACTTCAAGATCATATCCATTTTGATGTTACTGGGTACTGGTACTGAAAAACAATTAGCAAAAACTTTTATACTTCTATGTATTCAGTTAACTAGGAGGCGTACACATGTTACCTGATTCTCTAAAATATGTGAGCATCATAAAGAGGGTTGTGGCTCAGTGACCATTCTTTACAATCTATGATTAAAGTCATACATTATAAAAATGTTTATACTTGGAAAGTACAATATAATTACACAAAGAAATACTATATTTGTGGTCGGTTAATATATGGCCGGGAAATACCTTGTGATTGGATTAAGTCGGTGTGGTGTGCCGAAACCGACGGAGGGGTAGACCTGTAAAAATAAAGAGGGCCCCCCCGAAGGGATTGTATAGGTATGAATAGGGTCAAGAGGGTGGGGTGAACAGCGTACGTCACGGCGAAGGTAAGAAGGGGGAGTAGCATTTTTATAGGAACGCTAACTCCTCCCACAAATACAGGCCTGCGGCCTTAAAACTTGTGGACGGTTAATATATGGACCATGAAATACCTTGTGATTGGATTAAGTCGGTGTGGTGTGCCGAAACCGATGTAGGGGTAGGCCTGTAAAAAAAAGAGGGCAAAAGGAGATGCAAAAAACCCACACTTTATTATCAACATGATTATAATACAAGATTTTTAAACGCTTGCCTCAACTCTTTCTCTGGTTGCGGTATGTATCTGTTGTATATTGCGGATTTCCAACGTTCTAATTTTTTAATGATGTGTACTGGAGTATTGATACTGGATGCGGCTAGTCAGGTTTGCAATGTCGGTTCAAAGGTCATGATTACAACTGAACCTTTATCAATCATTATCTTAACAAGAACCATATGTGTTGATCCTGAAATACAATGGACATCTGTACTATAATTAATACTAGATGTATAGTTAAGGCATGTAAGTTCCTGTGTCTGATTGAAGTCTTATGAGAAAATGATATTATTTGCAACTAATACAAAGAATGGTAAATATTCATGTTACAAAGATATAAAATCCGACAACCCATCAGATATATTACCTTTCATTAAATAATTTTCAGTGAGTAAACTATAGCTCAATCGATCAGGCTAGGCATATATGACTATATATATTGAGAATACAGGTTAAGCTTATAGACTTAGGAGGGCCTTCAGACATGGAGATAAACTAAATAGATATGATCACATGTGCTGAACTACCACATTAAACAAAATAGCTTCAGGGCCACTGGGTATAAGAGGGTAAAGAGAAGAACAGAAATGTCTACACAAATAACAGGTTGGCAACAATAAGTAAGCAGAATCTCCCTAGAAAGGATGCATGGATTTATCTAATTCCACACGTCGGCCACAGGAAACGGTCTGTGTCAATGTCAAACAAAATGCCATCTTTCCCTCACACAATATCTTATAGAACTAGCCAGGTTTTGTGCAGACTAACTGTACTATGGTTCTTCACCTTCCTGAGCCCAAACTATAAGAGGAGTGTGCCGGACCGCCTGGCACCCCGACCGGGTGCCTGCGCCAATCGATGCTCCTAGGGCTCACCGAGAACTCCAAGCACTACACCAGACACCATCAGCACCATAGTCCCCACATCCAGCGTTACAGCTTGGCTGGGAACTCGCCATCCTCCACCCACCCTGGACCCAAGACCAGGATTCAGCTTCCAGTGGGTGAACCTCTCCTACTCCAGAGAGTATAGCAGGAACAGCTCTTATAAGAGCTAGTGATTATAATCCCAGGGGTAGATACAGGCGATCCCCAGGGTAGATACAGGCATTTCCACCACACATGAGATGAGACTATGTTGAGGGTAAGCAGGAACACATTTTAATGGGACCACACTTGGCCTTATATGCAGGTCCCCATGCAAGAGGTACTCCTACATGGACCTTGTGGATAACTACAGCACAAAGTTACAGACCAATGACAAAGTTGTTCAAGTACATGACACTCTAATACATAAATAAAGAATCCCTCCTCTGTGCTTGGAAGATAATTGGATCAGAAACTGTATTAATCTAATCCAATTATCTCCAAGCAAAGAAAAACCTACTTTTTCCCCAAACACCCCAAAACTACCTTCAAAACACATGGAAACCCCACAAAAGTCACATCCCCTGCTAGCTCCAATCTAGGGGACCAAAATATCCAAAAATCACCCAGATCGGTTCAGGGGATCGGGATTTCCATTGAAGTTATAGTTTTGATCAACTGTTCACACGGTCCTATGCCCAAAACAGTTCCAGGAAACTAGGGCTAACGGTCGGTCTCTCTTTCTGGAGTACGTAAGTACATAAATTACATACGTTTTTAAAGGGCCACTAGTCGTTTGGCAAGAGGCTGGCCAGCAGGCCCCTCCAGAAGCCTGTGGTGAGGTTAGTTTCGCCACAGGGAGCACTAACCACGTAGCCCATGACCCTCCTTTTCCATTCGGCAGGATTGTTGGGCCTGAAGGCGCTCTGTGATTCGGATTCTGGGTACTTGGGCGACTGGTCAGAGATATCTCTAGATGGGGCTCCAGCCCGGAACAAGGTTGGTGATCCGATACAGCATCTCTAGTTTCCAGCTTAGCAGGTACAGTATAGATGTCAGGTCGACGGTAAATGTGCCCCCAAAAATCAACAATCATTTTAACTCTTGACTTATTATATTGCTACTCATGATCCTGCTGTATTTTTAGTTAGGTTATATTTCCTTTTCGGAAGGGTATCCTGAGCACTTGGTCAGTTTGAGCAATATTTAGTTAAGAGTCCCCTACTCCCCGTTTCACAGGAACTACATATACTGTAAGTATCAGCATGTCCTTGTTTTCCCTGTTTTTTTTGCATCCACTACACAAACACTCACCATATTCACTATACACTCTGCATCCACTACACACACACTTGACATCCACTGCACAAGCTCTGCATTCTCGTGGCCGGGTTCAGGTTGGGCCCTGTGGGCAGACTCAGGGGTGGGTGCCAGGGGCCAAGACATTGAGCTGCGTAAGGTGTCCCAAAATGTCTGATGGCAGTTCTGCTGACATTATACAAAACTAAATTTGATTATGTGTTCAAATTGGTAGAAGCCTTCTGGTTCAGGGAACGTATGGATTCAATACTCTTTCAATATTGGAAGCCATACAAACAGTTTTAAGATACAGAAACAAAACCTTTCTTCACCATACTTTTCAACTTACCAATTGGTATTCTTTAAGATATCTTTGTGGGAGTCCGCCGGTTTAATTCGGATAGCGGAGAGGGATGGGGTAAATTTGTTAACATTTTGATTTGGCAATTGTTTTAACTTGATTTGTGGCATAGGGACATTCTATGTTTTCATATGGGACCACTTTTGATTATGTGATATTGAATGTTTGTTTAATTAATGTCATTGGATTTTTTTGTGTCTGTGTATCAATGGCAATTTTTTTTCTGTGTTTAGGCACATAAATCCCAATACTCACTGTCTTTGCTTTCAATTGTCAGTAAAATATTTAATCTCAGCTTATTTATCCACTTAATAAATATAAAATAATGAACAACATCATCACAACCCTAGTTCAGAATTGCCTTATAAAAGCTCCATTCATCGCTCAGGTTTGGGGATTTTACATTTTTGTTTTGTTTTTTTAAATCTACAGCACATAAAATCCAGATTGCTGTGGTCTAACACACACACCATACAGTTCTACATTACAAATTCTTACAGCTTGGATGGAATAAGCATTTTAACCATAGCAAGTTTTGATGGAACTTAATAGTGTGCTGTAGAAGACACCAAAACACTATATTACATAAATAACAATTCATTTAACGCTGAATTGACTTCGTATTTGGAAAATTCTATTAAAATATAACACAAATTCTTAACCATATACAGTAAGATCAAATGCCCCAAAACAATCGCTATTAATAAACTGCTATACTCTCACACATATTCCCCTAAATTTATCTAAAACATGACCTTCCAATATGTCATAGCCTTTCCTGACCTGTACACATTCCAAAGTATGCCACCAAGCATATAACTTCCAATACTCAGGGATGTGGAATTTATATTGCCTGACTCCCAGAACTGGTCTTCCAAACTATCGCAAACCAAAGAACATTAAAAGCAATCGGAAGATGGGTACCAAAATATTCCATGTACCCAGCTCAAATGTTTTGTAGCTATGAAAAAGGAAAAAAATAAAATAAAAAACACACACACAACAGGAAGCAAGGATAGGAAGGAAAATGTTTTTTTTTTTTATTATTAAATACAAAAGTTCCTCCTGCAAGTTAGTACAAAAAAAAAAAAAAAAAACATTAAATAATTGTAACAGCTTAATAAAATTATATAAAACTCTGTACAAACCAAAGTACAAAAACTCCCGAGATTTGTCAATGCATAAACTCAAAATGCTATTCACAGAACATCACTTATTTGAATAACTATTACATTACGTAATATAAGAGTATAGAACTGTTGTGGCTACTTTCTGTCACTGGAGATCGACATTCTCCAAATGGCTGGCTAGACAAACAGGAGTGCTAAAGTTAAGCCGTGATTGAGAGTGATTGAGTTCAATTATAAAAAGTACAGTTCTATAAATAAATGGCAATAACAAATCACCTTTAAAACCTTGTAGCTCTTCTATGGCCTGGAGTTAGGGTAAGAATAAGAGTCTCAGTAATAAACTACTAAATTCTACATCCTTACAGTATTTAATGTATGTACAGTTTGTTATACTGGAGCTCTGTGTAAAGAAATACCCAATGGAAAAAAAAAAAAAGGGAAAAAACAAATAGTTTTTAATTGCACTTTCAAGTGATAGTTCTAAAATGACAGTAGTTATTGCAATTAATCGCAAGCTGTGTCCCAAATTCACAATTAAGCATATCCTGTCTTAACGAAATGACACAGGTGATGATTATTGATTCTCAATTTGCAAGTCATTTGATGTAGTTTAGTAGTCATAAGTGAGCATTTTTACATTTCAAAATAATTCACCAGTACCAAGGTTGTTAATTTTCCAACACCCAATAAATTAGAGTTCTTATGTTCCATAAAATGTGGAATCTTTTTTTTCCCCTTGTTAAGAGGTCTCCAACCAGTCCACATTTCCCAAATCACATCTAATGAAGATTCATTACAAAGCCTCATTGTATCTATTAGACATCTGGTTTACAGATGGCTAAAACACATGGCTGTTCTGGACTCCAATGGGACTTCAGTGCCTTCGAGATTTGAAGATAAGGCACTTTGTAGTATTGTAGGGAGTATGGGACCTTGTACTGTACAATCTATAGGAGAGTAGAGAATGTATGTTTGTTTGTTTGTTTGCTTTAAAGACATGTTACACCACCCTCATGGAATTTGTGTTGATAAATCAGATACAGTATATAACATTTCTATTTTCTTATAAATCTGAAGTTATTAGCAATATTGGTCAAGAAGTTGTAGCCAAAAGGACTGTTAAAAACATAGACTTTGACATTGAAAAAAAAAGGGGGGGATTCGTTCTAGGCACCAGTCTCACTGTTCAGGAGCATTGGAAGCTACTGCATGGAGCTTCCATGACCTCTACTCAACTAGGACCTACAATCTTTATTCATTGGCTCATTGGAGAGTGTAAATTGAGCATAATAAGCCAATGACTTAAGCCCTGCACTGCCGGGCATACTTAGTGTAGAGATCTTCCAGCTATCCTGGACGAAGTGATCGACACCTGGCAGAAAAGTTGCCAAACTGTTAAGGTTTTAAGGCGAAGACACAATCAAAATCTTATTTACAGTCTAGTCCTGAATGTGAGAATAACATGTTCACCATAGACTGTGTATTAATATCATTCAGAAAAAAAAAAAAGTTCCATACGATAAAATAATCTAGATTTATAAAACAATAACTTAAACACAGAATACAAAAATTACAGAATCAGAAGTTTTAGAACAAAACAAAACAACACATGACACTACAGATTAAAATATACAATTCAGTTAATCAAGGCCAACTGGTATAAAGTGTAGACAAATTTCAGTAGACAAATCTGTTAAGGCAATACACTCACAAGGTACTCCCCAACGAATATTTCTAAGCTCTATGAAATAAGTGTGCCTTGAGATCTTACCACGTTGAAGTAAGGAGTACCCCAAAGTTGTGACCAAGTTTAGTTTAGTGACTGCAAACACATTGGAGCAGGGCTTAGTGAGTCCTTAGCATCATGTTATAGAGTTCTGTAACAGTTACGGTTTTAACTTTATTTAGTATAACTAGCATATATAAGATCCTATGAAGTGTTGAAGAAATATATTATATTTGAACACACATATTCAAAATCCAGGTAAAAACTGCACACACCAATAAGAAAAGAACAATATTTGTGCTTATTCTGGATTCTGTGGGACTGTCTAGATATGACCAGACTTCTGCGGTGCTCAAGTAATTTTCAAGTTCTTCTGGAGTGGTGTTTATATGTGGAAATGTTTTCACATGACTGCACATGTGCATCATGGGAAAACAAGTGGTCATCGTCACCAATGTGTATATACTGGATTGAGACTACCCAAGTTTTAACTATATGGATAGATCTGGAATGCTACCTCCCAATGTCAGTGATATACCACATGCTCTTGCATATAAGCAGCAAATATATCTGGCACTCACATGGGTGGCATATACCAAATTTGAATTGACACAGATAGGAAGGGCTGTGTTTTTTGTCCAAAGTGGGCATTTGTCAATACAGAAATGTCTACCCATCTTGGTGTAAAATAAGTAACCATAATGGTGTTCTCCTTACGGTTGCTTTTTAAGGTAGACCTGTCATTGTACATTTCAAATGTTGCAGCAGCTATAAGGCACTTATATGTCAATTTTTCCCATAGTAAAAGCAATAATTATTACCACTGCGACCTAATCTCTCATCTGGCAATGAAAAATTATGTGGTTTAAAAAAATTAAAACCAAATTAAAATAAAAAAATAAAATCGGCTTTTCAAAAACCTGAAAAATTTACTAGAATATGGATTGTTAGAAACATTACAAACACCTCTTATTTAATATTACAAGCAATGTTTTCTCATCTGAAATGAACATCACAATAAATAAAGCCGTTTATCGGCAACATACTAGTTTTAAGAAACATAAGTAAAAATTACAATCCTCTTATTTTCCAACCATAAGCAACCCTCCTCCCAGACGTTGCTCTTGGTTCGACAATATTCACATTTCAGCCTTGGAAGAGCCCAAAGCACAGACCCCAATGAGTCAGACAAATCCAGGTCTGCCTGTCTAATTACAAGTTATGCCTTGGCTTTCTTAGCAGCAGACTTTTCAAATCTGAGCCAGCCTTTCTCATAGTCCTGCAGAAGTTCTAAAAAGTAGCGAGTACCGGGTTCATCATCGTACCACACCTCGTACTGAGTGTCTTTAGGATTTTCCGAGGGTCTGTGAACCCGCACAACTTTTCCACTAAACCAGGTTTCCCGCTTCCCATCATCAAATAAATGAAGGATCCGTCTTCCGACTAAGTTTGGATTTCCCTTTCCTGTACGTTTTCGAAGACCCCTCCTCCTCTTTCTGTAGGGGCATTTTTTATACTTCCTGACAACATTTTTTTTAAGGCACATTTGTTTTTTTGGCTTTCCATCTGCTCCCTTATCCTGGGAAAGTTTCAGTTTTTGAGCTCTGTACACATGGTTTCCACAGGGTTGTGAAATCCTATGTAGCTTCAGGATCAGGGAGGAGTCTCGTTTCTGAGTTGAAGCCTCCTTTTTGGGAAACCCTTCTGATGATGATTCTAAAGTTTCTTTTGGCTGGGACTCCCCCTTCTCTTTCAGAGCAATCTGTGCGCAATTACCTGTCAAAAGAAATACATTAAGCATTAGACGGAATATATATAAATAAAAATAGAATTAAAAAAATATAGAGGGAAGGATAAAATGAAGGATGAACGAAGAAAAGAAAAAAGGAAAAGGAATAAAAAAAAGTGAAAATTCAAGAAAACTAGTAAGCAGGTGAAATTAAACATATTGTATGTATTTTAGGAGAATTTTAAAAGAAAAAAAAATACCAAAATGACAAGTAATATTTGAAAATTAGGAGTGCAAAACACAACCCCAAATATTAGGCTGCATTAATACAACACAAAACTAGTGTTCAACTGAATGTGAAATTGAAAATTAAAATATGAGATCTGGAAAATATACATTTAAACCAATTACATTGACTATTGTTCTTTCTAGGCTCAGTCATCCTAGAGGCAGGAGTCTATCAAGATCTTTACATTTACTTTAACTTTATTCCATACACCACAATCATAGTTCATTCAATCCCAATTTGCATACATATACTGGCAGTCAAATATTTCAGCTTCTTTGTTTGGCAGGGTCTTAGGTTTAAAAGGGACACTGTAGGCACCCAGACCACTTCAGCTAATTGAAGTGGTCTGGGTGCAGTGATGCAATAATTGCTATCCAGGGTTAACTCCACCTCTAGTGGCTGTCTATCAGACAGCCACTAGAGGGCTTCCTGGTTTGAAACGGACCTTTGGTTCATTATCGGATGCTGGAGGACCTGCAGCGTAAGATTTATTTCCCCATAGGAAAGCATTGACTAATGCTTTCCTATGGGGAAATCCTAATGCGAGTGCGGCCATTGAGGAGCGTGGGCGAAGCCTGATCCAGCACCAAGGGACATTGGCGCTGGATTCAATTAAGTCACTGCTGCGAAAGGGTGGGCGCGAGGGAGTTAGGCACTATAGAATCACTTTAAGCATTCTCTCTCTCTCTCTCTCTATATATATATATATATATATATATAAAATAAAATTTTATTTAAAAACTTATATATATATATATACATACATACATACATACATACACACACTCAATTGGAGCAAACTCCTAAAAGCTTTCTGGAAACATAGATAACCAAATAGGTGGCAAAATCCAGTACAAAAAAAAAATAATAATATTATATATATATATATACACATATATATTTAATCCCCAAACAAAGTTGAAGTATAAAATCTAATGGGGTAACATTGTTTAAAGCCAATTTAAATGTGCTTACGTAAAATATGTGCAAGATCACTATATTGTAATTTCACAGATACAGTTGTGGTTGTAATAGTTCCACTAGACAGATGGTCCTCTGTGAGGCTGCTGCTCTCAATCACCACTGTAGTTAGCAGTGTGAGGAAGCTCTGCCCATTTAGAGATGGCATAGATGATGCGCTTCACCCTGATAAGCTTCTTCAGATGACCGTGCCTCCAAACGTGCAGTGGTAAATTCAACTTCCCAGTGTGCGTCCACTAACTAGCTCAACCCCCCAATTTAAATTCGTGTCTGGGGTTCTAATGCCAATGAAACACTATAAAATCACTGTTGCGCAAGTGGTCTTTGCAGTAAGCCACCATTTAGTAGAATTAAGTGTATGTCTGTGTTAAAATAAAATACAGCTTCCTACTGAAATAAAATAAAACAAAGATTAAAAAAAAATTATGAAAAACACTTGCAACGAAAAAAAAACTATTAAAAAAAACTAAATCGATCAATAGTGCCTAACTACACTAGGTGGACACAACAGTAACTTCTTTATAGTAGAAAATCTGAAAATAAAAGAAATAGGAGGTAACAGGACATTAAACATATAGTTCAGCGTCAACATGAAGCCTATCTGAATTTAACATTTTTTTATTTACACGCAACTAATGTCCTTCATTCCAAGGTTTGCACTCAACTTTTTCAATTCCTCAACTTTTTCCCTCTTTAGATAGAGGCTGAATGAAAACAATTCTAACTATTTTTGATATTGCATTTATGGGTTTATTCCACGCACTTGCATTATTTAGCCCACTGTGCCAAACCAGTAAGAGCAAGTTAGGATAATACTGTTTGTATAGCTGATCACTATTTTTTTTTTTTTTATTTAGATTGTTTTCATTTTAAATGTAGTTTCTTGTAAAATATTACTTTGCGTGTCTGACTGTCACATTTAAGAGATTCTTCATTTTTCTTTTTCTAAAACACCTTTTTGTAAAGTAGGTTTTTAAACTCTATAATCCCCTCAGGATATGTCACTGATAATGTCATACATAGAAGAGAAGAAATTAAACAATGTTTCTATACCTCTGCTTTATTTGCAAAGGAATTATGATGTAATTTGGGTGCCAACTCCCACTACCCTTAACCCTTCAAGTGTAATTATTGCAGTTTTTATAAACTGCAATAATTACCTTGCAGGGTTAAGTTCTCCCATAGCGTGAGGACGTCCAGTGCCATTTAAAACACTTTTCGTGTTCTAAGAACACGGAGGTCCCTTTAGTGGCTGTGTAATAGACAGCCACTAGAGGGACTTCCGTGTTCTTAGAACACGAAAAGTGTTTTAAATGACACTGGACGTCCTCACGCTATGCATGAGGACCTCCAGCGTCGCCGGAATCCCCATAGGAAAACATTGAATAATGCTTTCCTATGTGGAGGTCTAATGCGTGTGCGTGGATATACGCATTAAGTCTCCTCCGCCGGCTGACGAGGAGTGTGGGCGGGGTCCGACCCAGTGCTGAGGGACATCGGCGCTGGATTCAGGTAAGTCACAGAAGGCGTTTTATCCCCTTTAGCAACATGGGTTGGGGGGTGGGAGGGAGAGGGGCACTACAGGGTCCTGCAGTGCCAGGAAAACGGATATGTTTTCCTGGCACTGGAGAGTCCCTTTAAAGCACAATATAAATTGTAAAGAAAATGGAGCATTTAAGGTTTTATTTATTTTAACACCTGTAGATGAATTTTAATACTTTATTCAGTAGTGTAGAGAGTCAGTTTCTCCTACTAAACGATGTTAGGACATGTCAGCAACACCATTAGGGCAAATTGACATGTCCTAACGTCTTGGTGTGAGCAGGGATAAATCAATCAATACCTGGGACTCGCCTTGGTCAGCTGGATCCGTATTTAGTGGCCCCAGACTGACAGATGCACGGTATGCAAAACTCAAAGGTATTTAAATACCAATTGCTGCAATGCGGTGAGAGCAAGGTTAAATTCCTGCTCACACCAGAGATCCCAGGTATCAATCGATACTGGTGGCTCCAATCAGTCAGTAAGGGCCACCCAAGGCTGACCGATGATCTGTATGCAGCCATTTATATACCTTCAAAACGTTGCAGTGTTTCTGGGCTTTCATGTGCTAAGGTTATGGCAGACATAGTGCTACGGTAGGGTTAGTGATAGTGAAGGGTAAAGGTAAATGGATAGTATTGGTGTAAATGTAGGGTTGGTATAGCGTCAGGTAGGGGTTGGTATACAGTTAGCATTAAAAGGAACACACCACTTCCCATATTAAAGAGAAAATAGAAATCGCTACTTGGTAGATAAATTCACAATGCTCTCCTAGGGGTTTTTAGAAGATGCTGGACGTCCTCATGCAAAGTGTGAGGACTTACAGTGTGGTTTCATGGAGTCACACTCCATGAAAGGCCAGGAAGTGCCTCTAGTGGCTATGTGAGACTCTGCAATGTAAACATTACATATTCTCTGAAACTGCAATATTTGCAGCTGCAGAGGTAAGGGGGCACGGAAAAAGAGAGCGCACTTAGACCACTTGAATGAGATGAAATGGTCTGCATGCCTATAGTGTCCTTTTAACTACCAAAAATTATTTTGACCGTTCGTAACACTGGATGCGTGAAAAGCATTAAAAGCTAAATGTAATGTAAAAAATTAGCTACTGCTACTGGCTGCTGCTAGGCTGACAGGGGTCGTTATTAGAACCAAAGATTGAACTGAAAATGTGCTTTGAACACACGAGAGATAATTACATTAGCAGACACATTGGGATACTGAATTATGAACCACCAAAAGAATAGAGGAAGAATCATGTGAACAATTCTACATGGTATTCACACATTAAGTTATGTAGGTTAGATTACAACTCATTATTGCCATTTCATTAAAGAAGACTATAGTGTCAGGGATACAAACATGTATTCCTGATACTATAGGGTTAAAGTAACTTTTTAGGTCCCCCTTGCATTGCGTGGAAAAGGTGATTTTACTCAACTTTTTTTCCCCACGCCACGGCAGTTTTGCTCTGGCTGGTCCGCTTCAATGGCTGAGATCAAACGTGATGATCTCAGCAAACCTAATGCTTACCCATTGGAAAGTATTGGGAGGCTATTGCGGCAAAACGCCACTGTGCGCCAGTCAGCATCTCCTCACAGAGATTTATTGAATCAATGAAAATTCGATGGGGAACTAGGAAGCGCCTCAAGTGGCCATCTCAGTGACTGCCACTAGAGGTATTACTAGACTGCAAAATAAACACTGCCTTTTCTCTGAAACGGCAGTGTTTACATTAAAAAGCTTGTAAGGACAGGCTATAGGCACTAGTACAACCTTTTAAATCACCCTTTTTATTATTACTTTCAATAAGTCCATTATTCTCTGTTTGTTGCAAAATACAGTGCTGTGCAAGATGTAGTGACTGTTTTTTAGGACCGTAGGCAAATAGATTGCGGACAACAAAAATAAAACTTTTCAGGGGGAGAGCGAGAGAGAGCGGGAGAGAGCGAGAGAGAGAGAGAGAGAGAGAGAGAGAGATGGAGAAAGAGTATGAGGGAAAAGAAAGAGAGAGGGAAGAAAGGAGGGAGCAGCAAAGAATAAGATGAAAGGAGGGAGCAGGAGACAGATAAGGAGATAGTAAGCAACAGAAAGGCAAAAGCAGGAAAATTTATAGTGAACATGAGCACTGCGTGCTAGGAGAGGTTGTTTAACAAGTTATATTTTAGCTATATTATATTATCATTATAATATATCCTGCTGTACATGAGGTCTGACTACATTACTGTATGTCCCACGTGAGAATTCATTTCTAAAAACACACAAAGTAAAAAGCCATGTGATCGCAATCATTTCCTGGGGTTTCCTACAGTTATCGCTTTGGTAACAAAAGGATCTGGGGCATTGATACAAGAAGGAGACAAAGCACACACACACACAGGTACATACATACACACAGGTACGCACACCTACACTCACATCCCCACAGCTTGGCGTTGTGTGGTTTGAAAGGAACTCATACGTACTTGTGTGTATGCAGCCCAGACTGTGTAGTGGAACCTGGAAGAAATAAAGTATAGGGACATGAACCCATCGGGCACAGCAGAGAAACAGGAAGGTCCCCTGAGAGCTAATCCCACTACACACAGTCCCAGAGCAATCTGTAGAATCATGTGCAATCATTAGAGTCAAAATATCCAAATATAATAGTGTGACGGCAAAGTGATTTTTGGTAATATGGGATTAACCTTCTCGGCAGTCACAAATAATGTGGGCAGAGCTTTAGCAAAACAAGCCTGCTGACTTTCAGCTGACAGGTGTCTATGGGCTTTTTCACCTTCAATCTCTCAAAAATATGTTTGAGCTAAAATAAAAATCAGCTGACTTTCCTATTGGGCAAGATTATAGCATAATCGTAGGAGAGCAATAATTAAATATATAAATAAAATAAAAAGTAAAGGAGAATTTCACTTAAGTTTGCTATAGAGATTAATAACCCGTTAAAGATGTATATCTAAAAAAAATAATTATAAAAACAATTGCATGCTGGATCAGGAAATTACCATAGCAACTGTCTTCTAAGATATCACTGGGAATAGATCATTAGGATATAATATACAAAAAAGGATGGATGAAATTCACATTATAGAAATGATAGGTAAAAAGCTAAAGAAAAAAAATGTCAGCATATTTTTTTAATAGTTCTTTTTAAAGACTCATGCCAGTTCTGCAGCACTGTTAGATGTGACGCCTAAAGGTCATGCATAACTAAATATTTGTTCTTTAAATATTAATATATATATATATATAATATATATAATATCCTTATATCAACACACAAAAATAGTTTTTGATTTTGTAGCACATCTTAAATGTGCTTTCATTGTCAATTTCGGCATTATGATTGATGGGTAATGGTTTTATAGAGCATATAATTGTACAGACCGCATCCTACAGTGCGCTATATTTTTAGCCCAAGCACCATTATAGTATATAGCATGTTATCTACTACAAGCAGGTAAGGTGGAAATATTGGAGATAGATACAATTGAATTATAACATTCCTGCAAATGCACAGCTGAGACAACAAGGACCAGTTACAGAAAACGGCACCAAAGGCAATATTGCAGATGTACACAGTAATTTTGGTCACGGCATAGCACTACGTGCGTTGAGTCAGACTGTTTGCAGTTCCTCAAGACTCTGGATTTTCAGTATCCTTTTGGACCTTACTAATGGTGTACAACAGAATAAGCAAATATTGTGACATTCGTGAATACTGCTGTTCTAAAGAATGCTGTACTCACCAAGCTGATTCTGGACGCAGAATCCCCAGTACAGATGTAGTAAATCCGGATACACATCAGGGAGTTGTTTTAATGCAAGTAATTTTAACAAGCGTGAGGGGCAGTCTTTCAGCCTTTTCTCCCGCAAGAGTTTTTCCTCAGAAAGGGTTGTGGGACGAAGTTCCACTTTGTGTCTCTGCAACACCCGATCTACGGAGGCAGACACCAACTCTGTGAACAAAACTTCTTTTACCAGATAGATAGGAATAAAGATGGCACCTGCCCGGATGACATGAGGAAACGGGCATCGTCGTGTGAACATGAAAGTTTCCAAATTAGATAACAGTTTATGTAAAAGCATACGGACTCCGTCAAAGGTCAACCATAGCTCGTGGTCTTGAGATGGTTCAGGTGTTCTGGAAATTGCCTTGGACTTTTCAGGAGATTTTGGTCTTTCTGTTTCCTTGGATTTTAAAAGCCAGTCCTGGAGAAGGGCAGGAGGAGAACATGTAACCGAATTTGAGATGGCTGCACGCACTGAATGGTGTAGCTCGTTGAATTGTCTCCCAGTTCCACCCACTGCAGTTTCACCACCACTGGCCAAAGACACATTGGCCTCCCCAAGTGTTGGAGAGGACTCAGGAGCACTTGGTGGTAGAGAATGCACGGACTCTGACAGCAGTGGAAAAGGGCTGGGCAAAGTTCTTGTAGCAGAATTGCACTCGGTTAATTGTGTTTCTCCTCCATGAGGGCCAAGTTTCTGAAGTTTGTACTTTTTAAACAAGAATGATTTAGAGCTGTGGAAGCCATTTCCTTCATTGTCTGGCTCTGAGGCTGGGGACACGAGGGAAGAATCACTGGGATACCTTGTCCTTTCTTTTCTAGTTTCTTTGGAGTGTACTTGGAACGGAGTGGAACAGTGTGAAAGATTTTTAGAAACTGAAGGAGGAACATTTTGTTGGGAGCAGGTAGCATTTGTGTAAGGAGGAAGCAGAGAAGCACGAGATGCCCATTTTGTGGGAGACTGGACAGTACTGAAAAATAGAGAGGGTGAGAAGCAGGAACTTGAATTTTGAGGAAAACATAGGACTGATGTCTGTGAAGAGCTGCCAGTGGAAGACTGCATAAATGTGGACTTAAGACAGGAAATTGTGGTCTGTGGGAAGCCATGTATTCCTGCTTGAGGATTAACTTCTGTGCAAGCGCCAATGGAGACCTTTGCGGAACTGCATGCAGTGGAATGCTTTGTGGTGCTCAATGGATATTCTGTGACCACCTGTGAGGTGGATGTCTTGGAAAGCTCTAAAGTACTACTACATGCATTAGGAGAGTGGTATGCTCCTTGGTTATTATGTGGAGAGCAAGGATGTAGTGGCTTTTTCAAGCTTAGATCAAGAACGACTTCTTCTACTTCTGCCGGGTTGAATGAATCAGGTTCAGCATCAGTTTCTTTAATATTCTTAGATTTGGTGGGGGATTGATGACCATGATGTTTCTGAACACTGTCAGGTGTGGAGGATTCAGTCAATACCTTCTCATTTTCCTTTTTTCTTTCTGGTGTACTTAATCGTAAAGCAGATTCTTCATTTTTCCCTCCATGCCCTCTAAGTAAAGGAAAAGGATGGGGAGCTGTGCCCTCCAGATAATCCCGGTATGGAGCAAGGCTGAAGACATCATTAATCACAGGCATGGGAGGGGAGCAGGGACCATTATTGTCTGATTCAGGCTCCAAAGAATCTGAATGGCAGTGAATTTTGGGACTTGGCAATGCAGGCTCTCTCTCATTGGATCTCAGTTTTTCACCCCTTGTACCAAGCAGGTGGGATTCCGGAGAGGACCTCTCCGGGGTGGAGAGGCAATGTCTTACATTTTCTGAATTCACTTTGGATTGCTGAACACAAATACCATTACTATTTACACAAACAGCATCCTTATTAATGTAGGAAGAGTGAGAATTCAAGGTGCTGTTCTGTTGTGAGGATAGCAAATTCTCTTGCACAGTCTTTGTAGAATGCAAATCTCCACTGGAGACAGAAGTAAGAAGATGTGAACTCTGGCCAACTTTTTGCATTGAAGAATTTCCATGAGCTACACCAACATGACGTTCTTTGTGGGACTCACTGCTCTCTTTAGATGGGGTTACCCAAATATTTCTGTTCAACTGGGTCATTCTAACTTGAAGCTCCTGGTCCATGGGAACAGAACTCGCACGCATATCCCACTTTGCACTATTTGAAGCAAGCTGCATTTCTCTATTGACCTGGGTTGAGCACACATTTTGTACTACATCTTTCTGTATGGTGGCCATTCGCTCTTCCCTGTGAGCATACTTCTCATTCATTTTCAAATGCCTACTTGTGTCACTCATACCCATGCTCAGATCTCTGTTTACCTTGGCCATTTTTACACCATGTTCCTCATTTGGGTTGACAATTGTTCTCATGCCAAGATATGGCAAAAAATTTGTGTTTTCACTGTAGTTGTAGAAGGTGGATTGGTGTGGATAACTTACTCCATCAGAACTGTAATGTGACCTTGGGTGTACTGGTCCTAATCTGCTGTCAATATTGTCCTGCAGAGCACCAGACATGTAGTTTTGATGCTTGTGAGTGATTGAATTAAATGCAGAGCTCTTTTGCCTCCCTATAGCAGTCTCACCCTGTGCATAGAGAATTAAAGGATTTGGTTCAGCAAAGGGGGTGTAGCGATCTATAAAAGGCTCTTGATGGGAGCTTACATCCTCTTTGTGCCTACAACTTCCGGTCATTTCCTGTACACCTAGTGGTAATTTCCCATGTTCAGCAGTGTGGACAGAATGAAGTTTCTTGTTTACACCAGCTGGATATATGGGGGGAGATGGATAAGCAAAGTGAGCAGAGTTCCATTCAACAGTTTGAGCGTGTATGAGAGGTGGCCTACCTTGGACAGAGAGACCACGTGTGGCATAGTTTGTGTCCACAAAATTAGTGGGATTCATATATACGGGACGTGGCACTGCAAGTGGGGGGTAAACATGAGAGGAAGGCAAGGGATAGCGCAAGACTTGATGGTGTTGCTGCACCTGTAGATGGTTGCCTGACATTTCATGGAATTGTGAGTGGTTGTGGAGCCTCTCTGCTTCCTGGCTCTGGCACCTTACAGATGCTTCTTCTGTTCTCAAGTGCTGATTTAACGCATTACCGGTATACTGCAAATAGGCTGTGGTTGAACTCCACGGGTTGGATGTACTATGCTGCTCAAAACCAGGCATAGAGTAGGCGAGAAAGGATTTGTACGACAGCATATCTTCATGGGAGGTCTTTTTCACAGGACATTTTTGTGGTTCGGCTTCCACCCGTGACATCTTACCATAGATCATGCTGTCCTGTAAACTTGTTTGCCTCTTGCCAGCCATTATGCCGACTGTTTCTGTAGTTCCACTTTGAGGCAAAAGCCCTTCCCCTGGGGAAAAAAAAAAACACAACAACATTAAAATACAAGCAATACATTGTAATGAGCAGTAGCAGAACAATGAATCAAATAGTAACCCAGTAGTATATAGTGTGAATAAGAAAGATATATAGATATGTATTGTGGGTGAAAAGACACGCATAGTAACAGTAAGATGGTATTAAAAAACAATCAAAATAGGAACCTCTAAAACGAACAATGTATCAACAAAGGTAGATAAAAACAAACAAAACAGTTGGCAATAAAATCTGGCACCTATTTAATGCTAGCACATCATTTCACATTGCCAAGATGTGCCCCTAGGACTTTTCTCAGAATCCGAAAACAGTTTGAAATAAACGCCAAATGGAAATCACAACACAATCCAGAAACGCGAAAATACATCGCCCAGATGATGAATATATGTTAACTTGGTACACAGGGAGGTCCATATTTTCCATTTACACGTATGCACTTTAAATGCAATTTGGCTGCATAACATTGGACGAACCCAAACCGTGATGATTTTAATTGAGCGTCAATCTGTTTATGCAGCTTGTGTTTGAGGAAGACGTGTGCAATTAATAATCTGAGTACACACTGGGATAGTGGCAGCTTTATTAAAATGCAGGATATATATTTGGCAAGTTTTTTGTTTTTGTAAAGAATGTTCTTCACTACAGTCTGCAAACTAACAGCACATTGATAATGCAGTCTACTACACCAAACTTTCCAACATCAGAGCCTCGGTTCTCTGCAGTAAACCCACAGTTCAATTCAGGATTTATGTAGTTAAGGTGAAGTTAATAATTACACATTAAAAACACAGAAGATGTGAATTTTGACGACTTAGCATTGGTTTGCTAGGGAACCTGTCTGCTATTTCCTATATTTTCAAAATTGGCTTTTGATACCAGGCAGAACGGTAATGAAACGTAGGTCTTAAAGGCCTAACAAAATATCTGGCTCAATTCTTGCAAAGTAATCACACAGACACAAAACTCAGCATGAATAATTTTATCACAAATTCTAAAAGCAAGTTTCTGTCTAATATGTCATCTCCTACATACTTCAAAGAAATGTGTAGAAGAAATTTCTGCAATAGTCAAATGAACACTTGCCAGAAAGATACAAATATTTGCTTCCCAGGATTTTTAACATTATGTTTACTTATAGTCAACTGTGACAGAAGCTCCCATGCCATGGACTTTTGGAGAAGCTTGAAGACCAGCCTGCTGGCCACTATGGGCCTGGTCTCAAGAGTCCTTGAAAGGGGCTACAGTCACTGTAGGGGGGTGTATGGGGCTACGGGCACTTACTGTATTTCCCACTCGGACTACATGACCTTTTGGAATTGTCTGGATTAATTTTAAACATTGAGCATGTGACCAGGAGATACCCTCAAACACTCTTGAACTGTTCCTCGGTTTAGGACTGTGCCGAGGTCCAACCGACCTTTAGGTGGATATCAACTCCAAATTGATTGCTATTTAGAGGGGAGGTCGGGAAGGTACAGAGGTATCAGAAGATACCTGGGTCTTAAAAGCGCTCCCCAGAAGTAAAGGGACCCCTTTTTGGAGACATGAACTAAGATGCCACATGCCTGGAACCCCTCACTGGATCTGAGATTACCAATAAAACTTGAACATACTGTAACTTGGCAAGGATTCTCCGATCAGGGAACTATTTGGACACATAGGGCACTTAATGACAAACTTGCCAGGGATATACATTGTGTGGGGTATGGTCCAAGAAAAGGGAGTTCTGTTGGACATTCTATATGCTGTGCCCCTAGGACTGTCAGGGCACAGCATGGAGCCAATTGTGTTATCTGGGGTTAAGTTCCCAGACATAATGGCACCAGGGAAGGACAATTGTACTCCACATTGCTTTGGATGGAGACCCCCTGCGGGGAGAGTCAACACCGTTCTGTTTTAATGGCTTTGTGCTGTGCAATAAAGGTTATTCTACCCCCTCTATTCGGACTCGTATATAGAAATCTACAGTCTCTGCTTTACAGAGGAGAAGGTCTCCAGAGCTATAACCACTGCAGCCTGGTCCGGTGGAAGAGGTCATCAAGAGACCCCAGTCTGAAGTGTTCCAGAATCCCTGGCAGCAGGAAGGAAGCTGACCTGGTAAAGGTACTCAGTCAGTCAGAGTACAGGAGGCCCATCACACTAACAAATATTTATTTGAGATGTGTGAAAAAAAATATTTTTATCCTGCAACTGAAAGTCATTCCTGTCAATTGTTATAAGCGGTGTACTTTGCACCTGGCATTCAGCATAAAGAAAGTATACTAAATATAGGGCAAAATTAAAGGTACACTATAGTCATCAAAACAAGTCAAGCTCGATGAAGCAGTTTTGGCATATAGGTCATATCCCCGCAGGCTTATTGCTCAATTTAATTTAAATCCTAAATAGTAAAGAATTGAGGAATGAGATTGCAGAGACATGATCTATACACTAAAACAGTTTCAATAATATAAAGTTGTTTTGGTGACTATAAATGTCCCTTTATCGTTTGCCCTGGCCTAGAATTTTACAAGAAAACAGATCATCAAAAAAAATTACAAAACCTATAGGTGATTTTCAAGGCTTTACTCACTGGTAAACTTTCGAGAGAAGAGACAGTTTTCCCATTGAGGGATTTATTCAATAATCAGCTAACTGTAGCAAATCAAAATGCAAACTGTAAATGTAAGGCAAAAAGTTGGGCTTTGGAAAATACTCAGACATCTTGGCAATTTTAGCTGATATGGGGCAAATAAATTAATAGTCAATAAACCCAGAGAGGTTTTTTTTCCTCAGATTTGTTTATCTTTCTTTATACTGCAAATAGTGCCTAACTCTACCTGCAGTTATCAGTCCAACCCTGTGCCACAAAGATCTACACCACTAAATATATATTAAAATGACTTTTTTTTTTAGAAATAAATACATTTCTAACATTGAAATGTTCCAGTTTTATTATAGATTTGGAGTAACCCCCAAAATATCTTACTTATCACTAATCCAACAGCAAAGCCATGTATTCGCAGCAACTGTCTCTGAGAGATCATCACTACTAACGATCGATCATCCAGCCACTCCAATGCTTCTCAGAGAGAAGCATTGGGACACATGATGCATGCACGGTCATCATCAAAATCTCCCAGCAATGCTTCTAACAAAGAAGTATTGAAACCATTCACTCAAAATAAGTGACTGAAAGCCAGTTGGAAGGTGTTAACAAGAGGATTTGTAAAAGTGTCAATTTCTCTTGAAAACAGCACACTAATAAAATAAGAGAAATGGATCGTTTACTCTTAAAGCAATTCAGCAAGATCAGGTGCATTAGGGGTTTAGAATGCACCTTTAAAGGACTTTATACAGAGCCACAATGAACCCATATCTCTTCCTAAAAGGACACTATAGCCACCCAGACCACTTCAGCTCATTGAAGTGGTCTGGGTTCAGTGTCCCTATTGCACTTAGTGCTGCAATGTAAAACATTGCAGCTTTAGAGAAACTGCAATGTTTACATTGCAGCACTAGGACAGCCTCTAGTGGCTGTCTACTAGACTGCCACTACAGCGGACGTTGGACGTCCTCACACTCTGCAAGAGGACCTCCAGCGTCGGCTATTTCCTCATTGATTCAATGCTTTCCTATCGGGACGCGAAGTGTGCGCTCAGCACTTGCCACGCATTAGTGCCTCCATGTCAAGTAATATCGGAGGATGCTGAGCTGCGACCAAGCACCGAGCGAGATCGACTCTGGGATCAGGTAAGTAAATAAACCCATTATTCACTGCGGCGGGTTGGGAGCGAGGGGGAGACAGAGGAAGCTAAAGTGCCAGGAATACAGCTTTGTATTCCTGGCACTATAGTATCCCTTTAACCCCCATTTCTACGATGCACCCTATGTGCAAAATCATAGAAGCAAACATTGGTGGTTTCTGATTTAACATTCACACCTTGCTAGATTTGCACCCCTGGTAAGGCGTCCTGCCTCAGGAGGAAGTGATTAATATGAGGAACATAGTCGTTACAAGTGTTCCTCATCATGCACGAATTTGGTTATAGATCAGTGTGTTGCAAGAGTCTTCTCTCGCTCTGCTAAAAAACAAGAAAAAAAATTATTTGTCCTCCATTTATGACAATACTTATGACAAAATGTATTTCATCTGTGCAGGGCGTGTTGAAGCTAGACCTTGAGAGGTATTAGCCTGTGTAATATTGGTCTATATCAACAGATAATATTTTGACAAAATATTCCGCTTAGTTTATCTAAAACTATATTAATCTTGACATCGAGCTCCAGGCTGTATTCCTAAACAAACCTTGGATCTGCATTGTTTAAATTGGGTGTGAATACAGAGCAAGATATGAGTTTCCAATATTTGTTAATACACAATTTATGCAAACTGACATTAAAGTAACCCTAAAGCATTAGGAATACAAACCTGTGTTTCTAACACTTTAGTCTCTAGTTATGTAGGTCCCCCAATGTGTATATAAAAGATTTTTGCTTACTTTTTTCCAGGGTCGAGGCTCCCTTGTCACTACTTACCTCTTCTCTTCCCGTGATGTCATCGAGGAGGCATGGTCTCCTCCGCCGTAGTTCAATCCAAAACCCCTTAAAAAAGATCACTGGGGGCCTGGTGCACATGTGCAGTGAGCGCCATGCAAGTGTCCAAGCTTCTCCATAGGAAAACACTGAATCAATGTCTTCCTATGGGTTCTGCAACATCACGTAACCAAGCTTTACTCTGTCATTGCAGCAGAAGCAGCTCAAGTGGCTCTCTGGAAGGTTTAACCCATCAAGTTTTAACCCAGGGGTGCCCAAAAGGTAGATCCTTGGAGGTTTTAAAAACTACAGCTTCAATAATGCTTTGTCATTCGAAAAGTATTTTCAAGGCATCATGGAATTTGAAGTTCTACAACATCTGGGGATCTACCTTTTGGGCACCCTTGGTTTAACCCATCAAGGTAAGCATTGCCGTTTCTGAAAAACAGCAATGTTTTACCCTGAATAGTTAAAATGACAGGACCACTGCACCCAGGCCACTTCACTGAGTCAAGTAGCTTGGGTGAGTTTAGTGGTCCCTTAATATTGACCTAAAAACTGTTATTAAACAATCTTAAAAGGAACTTGCCACTGTCCATGATTTTTAACATTATGTTCACTTACCCATGTGGTTAAGAAATATTTATGTATTTGTCAGTTGTGAAAAAGAAAATTATCCCGTATGATAGCTATTGCAAAGTTATGGAATTCACTATAGCACATGTTCTCACACCTGTAAGTGTTGCTCAAGTAAGTGTGTTTTAGAGTTACCTCTGCCGTACTCTTCAACCCAGTAAGTTCTTCAGTAGCCTTTTCTGGTATGATGTACCTATAAACTATCACTTTGACATAAGTGAGATTTCCTCTTTAAATCTTTATTCACAATTAAATATGATTCAACACAAGCTACGTAGTCAAACTCTCTCTTTAAAAAGTTACACCAATTGTGTAACGCCTTGTGTATGCGATGGGTAAGCTGATCATACAGCCCAGATTTTAATGCATTGCCTATTTAGTAATTAACATACAGTATAACTAAAAGGCAATCTATTCAGAACTCTTAACTCTGGGCTCTACCATAAACTGGTAGAGTTTATTTCATGGTTTGCTTTATTTAACCATCACTAATGCGGTAGATCTCAGTGATTACTTAATACAGACACTTGTCTGTTTCCAATTTTATTTCCGAAACACATGGCTCAAAACTGCATTCTTAAGCGGTTTTTAGATATTTCTATTTCTGCAACACATGCATGTGGTTTCATTGTAGGCCGTGCTGTTGAAAAATTGCAACACAGTCAATACTACGAGCAAAGAGAGAATTTTACGTAACGTTTTTAAGAGAAATTTTTTTACTATAAACAGTGGCAGAGTCAAACTGTTGGAACATATTAAATTGGGAATATAGAATATAGAAGAAATAATCTATGTCACCGTGACAATGTTTCTCGGAACCTCAACCCAGAAAATGAAGTGAAGAACTTAATGGGTCGAAGAGAATGGCAGAGGTAATTCTAAAACAGATTGCCTTTTGGGCACATGTTAAACACTACAAAGGGCAAAGGATTAATATATGGGATGAATGATCATCTCATCCATAGAATGTACCGAGCGTTATTCACTGAAGTCTAGACTATATTGAATTCAACATAACTTTATAAAGCACAGGAATTACCCATCACCACTATTTCAATGCTTGTCCATGAAAGGCACTGAAATTAATAATTCTCAAACAGCACAATTTACATGTCATTGAGTCCATAGCAAAATGTAAATAGTGCCATTTCTAAGAAATGACACGGTTTTAATTTGCAAGGCAAAAGAATCAGCATCTATGTCCTGAATCACTTTATTGAGATTTGACTGTCCTTTTATGTATCTTTTTGTATTAAAAAAATATAATAAATGCAAAACACAATTTTTCTTATTAAAAGCATATCGTAAGCTATTACAGTGGATTTGGAAGTGTGCATATCTTCACAAAATTTATTTTTAATAAACCGACTTGTCACATTTTGGGTTTACCACATTTCCTTCCAGAGGGCTGCTGTTGAGCGTTATTCTCACTGTGTGGGCTGCACACATGTGCATTTCAACACTCAGCACAGACCCTGTTAAATAACTGATGTAACATAATGAAACCTGTGGGATTCTCGAATTGTACATAAAACCCACGGGAGCTGCAATAGTACATGCTTTGGAGCATAAATAGTGAGAGTGCTGACAAATATACTGAGCCCCTAACCACCTAACCAGGGATCTGGGATGTATGAATGTATTCTTCATATAGACAAGAAAGGGATACTAAACTATTTGACATTACTGGGGCACGCAAGGTATTTCCTTAAAGGGCCACTCTAGGTCGTACCATGGTTACTGGACTAGGTGTCCCCTAGTACCATCCCATTGTCAGTGGACGCTCCTCAATCAGTGAAATCAGTCCAAAGACAGACTGCATAGATTGCTAGTGAAGAAGTAGGAAGTTCTGTTTTCGTGATAGGTGTGTAGAGAGGTGCATCGAAAGCACCCCGGAGTAGTTTTTATAGTGCTTAGAGTGACCTATTAAAAGCAGCCATCAACCATGCAGGACATGGTGTTTTACAAACCATGGTAACCCAAGGAAACCTCCAAACACCATAACAGTGCCAGTGTGCCCCACCCCCATTTTAGTAGTCAAAGCGTTTTCAACGATTTTAATTCTTCCATGGGCTTCACCAGACACCGGACACACATACTGTTCCAGTATGTTATACAACATATTTAGAGTTCAAGGTTTGTCTTGTTTACCTATTATACAATGCTGCAGAATATTTTGGAGCTATACAAATAATTGTATTTGTATGACTATTGAACACACTAAAGAGATGATTTGGTCTGCAAATTAATAATGTCTCAGCTTGGTATGAACTTTCATTATACCATACCAGTTCAGAACAGAAGAACTGGAAGTATGTGAGAGAGGAAAGTGTTGTACCGTGCCCTTTAGAGGTTATGCTGTTCATAGCAGGGCTCACAATTTCCAAACAGCGCTAGCGATTGGAGAGTGAAAAATTTGCCCGAGCCAAATAGTAATTCAAGGCTTGCAATAGCGAGAGACTTTTTTGCATGGCTACTAGTGCAAGACTTGAAAAGACTTAGCATGTCCCTTTATTAACAATTTACAGCGTATATCGGACAGTTGACACACAACTGAGTTTTCTGAAATGCATTTGTCACATATTTTAATACTTTTATCTCTCTCTCTAGACAAATACAATGTAAACAAAACAAATCCCAGGTCTGTTTTACAAAATGTATCTTGAAGTAGGAGTTCTAGAGACACACTGACCTTGTGCAAAGATTATTTCTAAATGCTCTAGACTGGAGATGGTGAAAGGGTAGATCCACAACTGCTGCAGAACTAACCTCCAGGATGTACCTTTAAGGCTGGCAATGAATCTGGGGAGTTGAAGTTCTGCAGCAGCTAGGGGTATTTTTTGGCTACCCCTGTTCTAATTAAACAAATACAGCAGCTGAACAGCTGGCTTAGACAGTCGAATAGAAAATTAGATTCTGTTAGATGGTCGATCTCCATGAATACAATTTGACATAAATTGTGGATACATTTTCATTTGTGTTTTCATTTTATCAAAGGAAGAGCAGGCATGTGCTACACACTGACCTAAAAACAAATTCTTACTCTACTACAAATACACATTTTAATGGCCCTGCTCCTGGTGTAAATCCGCCTCTGTGGTTTCCCTGCTGCAGGAAGGCTGTGCCAAATGTGTTTAGCTATGAAATCTGATTATATTGATGTCATTACCATACGCACTCACACAGAAGCCATCAAGGAATATTTATATAATGCATTGCTTCATGGGATGTAATGCTGAAAATGAGGGTTAGAGGGCAACTATCAGCTCCCATGATATTTAATACAATGTTTACTTATCCCCTATATTTACAAAATGTGTTATTATAAGGTGTGAAAAAAAGGGATATGTAGAAATCCACACCACTTCATCCTGTGACTGGGCAACTCCATCTTAGCTCCCTGTCAGTCATTGTTATAGGCTCTGTCCTGCACCTGGCAGTCAGTACAAGAGGAGAAATTAAACAAGGTTTCTTTTTTTTGTGTGTCCTCAATGTGTCAGGAAGGAAGGAAGGAACTAGATTGCGACATAATTTAAAATAAATTATAAAAGAAAACCAAGCAAATCTGAATGGTATAATTTAGAATGAAAAAAAAAAAAAACTCTGCTATATCTCAAAACAGCTTGCAAAAGCTCCAGATCTAGTCTGAAGCCTTTGCAAGCCCTCCTCTCCTAATCCCGCCCAGACGTTCTATGACTCTCCAATCACAGACTTCCTAATGCAGCTCAATGAGAAGTCTTCGCAAGTCTTCTGCCTCAAGTGTAGCTTTACTGTGTCAAACTAAACCAGGAAGTAACAGAACCTGCTTGATTGACATGGATGGGTGGTGCCAATTTCTATTGAAATCTGAATTTCTTGTAGAATGAATATGTGTTTCACACATAAAGGACTTTAGCCATCTAGAAAAGTACTTTAAAGGTCTGGAATGTCCCTGTAAGATGAGAAGTGTGAATTGGATACTTCTACATGGAGTGAAATTACTTAACTGGTCTAGGAGACCTGGAATTGTAAACATTATAAAACAAGTGAAAATATTAGAATTTTCTGGCAATAAACTCTGAAAAGCTTCCCTATCACTTAGCTTCCTTTTCTAATAACAGATCGGCTTAAGGGAATGTGGCAATGCGATCTTAAGGCATGTGAATTGAGCTGACCCAGTATATGTGATTTGTAATATGATCTGCATATAAACACCTGACATAATTTATTAAACAGGAAGCTATGGCTTTTTATGTGTCCACAGATAGACACAACAAGAGGTGTGACAACTAATTGATAAAATCAGTAATAATCAATTAAAGAACCACTATAGTGCCAGAAAAACAAACCCCACCCTCGGGGTCCCACTCCCGCTGGACTGAAGGGGTTAAAACACTTACCTTTCTCCAGCGCAGGGCTCCCTCGGCGCTGGGGAACTCTCCTCCTCCTGCCGACATCAGCACCGAAAGCGCATCCGCGGCAAGAGCCGCGCGAATTCAAACCGCCCATAGGAAAGCATTTCTCAATGCTTTCCTATGGATGTCCAGCGTATTCTCACTGTGATTTTCACAGTGAGAATCGCGGAAGCGCCTCTAGCAGTTGTCAGCCACTAGAGGCTGGATTAACCCTCAGTGAAACATAGCTGTTTACAGCTGCAGGTTTAACACCTGGGGGACCTGGCACCCAGACACTTCATTGAGCTGTAGATTTTATTACAATAGTACTTTAAAAAAGCCCTAAGAAATGGTGAAATGTGTTGTGAGTGGACTTATAGAGAGGGGAGTATGTAGAACATCAGCAGCTATTTTGTGTGTATTAAGATGCTGGAATATTTAAAGGGACTCTATAGGCACCCCGATCACTTCATTTCAATGAAGGTGTTTGGATGCCATGCCCCTGTAGTTTTAAACCTGTAACTGAAAACACTGCCATTCTGCAGGAATAGAATGCTTATATTGCAGGGTTAAAAAGATTCTAGCGGCTGTTTTCCTAACAGCCAGTACGGGTGCTTCAACCCCAACAGGTAAATTAAACTCCGGTATTTCAATCAGATGGTCTCAGAGAGACCATTTGATTGGTGCAGCTTGGGGTCTCTAAATGTTCTCATACGGAGAAACAATAGATTGGCTGAGTTCATCAACACCAAAAATGTGGACCGGCTGGACGGTAACCAGTGTGGCAAGGGGGGGAAAGGTAAGTAAATCACATCTTTGAAATGCTCATACGGCTGGGGGGGTGCGTAAAAAGTTGGGTTAGGAATACATGCTTGTATTCCTTATGCTATATTGTTACTTTAATACAGTTTCTGTGACACTGAAGGTCTGAAGATTGCTGTCTTAAAGCGTCAGATCGGAGAAGACCAGCACCTACAAATGTCACTTGTTCAGGACAGTAGAAGTATAAAAACAGTATAAATTTCTCTTGCAGCTTACAACACCTGGGCAACACAGAAATAATAATAGCAGTAATCATTTGCATTGTTTATATTAAATCAGGTGATTTGTGACTATGCTTTGCATGATATAGTGCTGTGCTTACACTTATTTGTTTGAACGGATTGTAAAAAAATAAATAAAATTGTTAGTTGCAGCCCTACACATAATTACATTTTTTTATTTTTTATTTTACTATAGACCTCTGTAGATCAAATAGTTCCCAGGCCCTAAATAAGAATATCAGGCTCAGTATAAAAAGGTATGGGTATATTTCAAGGGCCTTTTCGGGTAATAAATATCAATATGTCATTATTGAAAAGATGGTGCACTGTTGCACAATGAGGGTAATCAACAATGAGATGCCTCTGCGGATTCCATTAGTTTCCATGGTGATTGAGCCATTTGAAGAACTTTGCAGCACTTTTGAGAATGACACTTTGATATATCTCCCCTTATGTAACCAAAACATAAACCCTAATCAAGGGGTAGACAACCTTCAGCACCTTAGATGTTGTGGACTACATCTCCCATAAGGCTCTTACAGTCATCATGCTGGCAAAGCATCAAGGGAGATGTCGTCCACAACATCTGGAATGCCAAAGGTTGCCTACCCCTGCGATGTGTCCCTCACGGATACATAATGGCTGATTTGAAAGCTCATATAATGGCAGCATGTTGGGTAACTGACACATATAACCCAACCTAACCAGAAAAGACTGATAATCACCCTGCCATTGCTCATGCTTTCTCTTAGCAGACACTACCCAACCAAGCACCCTGAAATTCTACTACCTGGTCGCCCATATGTGCATAGTATACACTCCAATGCAATATGCAAGCTCAGGCCGGCCATTTGAAACTATTCATTGGATCGGACCAGCCACGGCTGGTCAAACCATTAACGGAGTGGTGATTCTACATCATGCATGGTATCAGGGCACCATTTTACCAGTTAAAGCACCAGGAGCAGAGCTATCCACGGACACCTTATATGTATCTAAACATATGTTTCTGGTGATATTTTCTTAAGGTGCCCTGCTGACTAGAGTCTTATTAGATTAGTGGTAGTCAAAGATGGCTGGGTGGGATCTACATTGTTTTAGTTAATGTGTATAAATATGTGCATTGTAACCCAATAAAGCATTCATGTTTTCACCCTTGATCAAGTCTCAATTGACGTTTGGGTGGGCTGCTACATATCATTGAACACTCTGCTGGAAAAGGAGAGAGGCTTTGATGGAGATACTCTGGTCGAATATGGGAGCTCCGTCACATAAACCCTAACCTAGCCTGGGGCAGTAGATTAGGAGGGCGTGCGCACAACATTGTAAGAACTAAAGAAAACCTGGTTTAGACAATCAAAGCAGCTAGTTGGTTTATTTCTCTCAATAGATTGTCAAGATTAAGCCCTACTCAAATGCAGATAAGAACAGGTGGGATGCATTGATGTGTCCCAAGGGACTAAACAGTTTAAGTCACTTAAATGACCCAATTGAAAAAGGTTTGTTTAGGTGGGAAAAAAACAAAAAAGACGTCCTCAGGTAATAGCAATAGCCTCCTCCATCACAACTGTAATCAGAGCAAGTCGCTAAAATACAAACTGCAGGAAATGTTTATTTATAAAATATTTTACCAGGAAGGATACATTGAGATTGTTCTTGTTTTCAAGTATGTCCTGGGTCCACAAAACAATAAAAAGGAATGTAACATTGTGGGACTAAATTAAGGCATAGTTTCTGAGAGGATTATACAGATTTGACTATTCAGGGGTAAAATGTTAGTTAAAAAACCCGGAGTTCTCCATTTTAGTGGAAATAAAAATGGGTCTAAACATAAACACAGATAAACCAATGCATAGATAGATTTGGTGATATGAAGCACATTTGACTAGAGTTCTGTTTTGATGCTGCTGTGTGAAAAATAGCTACATCTCAGAGGATGTGTTTTTGGGAGCAGAAATTCCCGAACAGGCAGCGTTTGACCCCTGGTTAGTCTGATTCATATACTGCCATTACACAATATTATTATGTGGTCCAAACATAACTGCAAATTACAATACTATCTTGCCTTCACCATGTGTAACTCACTCCATAGAAACTGCTCACTGTATACAAGCTGATCACAAAACCAGGGTCCCCAAGAGAGTCAAGAGCTTGTACACACATAGATGCAATGCAAAACAGATCACTGTACTAATATGCACATACACAAAATGGAAATAGAAGCTTATTATCATCAGTATTTAGTGTCACTATTTATGTATGGGCATTGAGTCAGCTGAATGGTAAATACACTACATAATAATAAACACAGTCTCTCTCTTTAAAGAACATGACACATTTAAAGCCAAATATCCATCCACAGACACACATGTAATACTTGTATTGCTGTCTCTAAGACTGTACTGTATATATTTCCAACAATGAGCTGGGGGATTAAATAAAATCAGCATTGCCTAATATAGAATGCAGATGCCACAACTCAAAGCAACAAACCTTACATTTTCCAGATCACTATATATACACTGCATTATACACACATAATTAACTTAACCCTGTGGAATCTAATAATATTAATGTGAAACTCAGTTGTAGGGTAAAACAGCACACTTAGAGTCCCATAGAAATCAGTGAAGCTGTCTGAGTGAACTAGGAATTTATACCTTGATAAATAGGGACCTTTAAACCAGCTCACACACCAAGTTCTCTAATGTGGTCAGAATTCTAGCCACCACATGGACACATCTCCGCCCACCCCCACTATGTCAACCTCACTTACTCACATGTGCTTTACACGGATAGCTGGGGAATGTGTTGGCTGTGCGATCCTCAGTGCTGCAGGGAAGGCTGCCGGAAAAGTTTGTCCCCAGATAAGGCAGCTTGCTAAACAGCTAGTGGTCAGTAAGCAGACTGGTGGTGTAGATCTACTCCAAGTCGTACAGTGATAACAGGTCCTGCAATGATGCAATGCTGCTGGCTGAGCTTCTACTTGCAGAGCACTTTGAAACTTTGTGCAGAGCCTTTCCCAGTAGGGGTCCCTGGTGATGTGCTGCAGCCTCGCGTATTCCTTTGCAGCCTGGACTGTGCTGTGAGATGCTCTACAGGGGACCATGGTGTTAGAAGCACATTGTGAGCCTGGACATCCTGAAGGTATTAGGTGAGGGGAGACACTGCACACAGGGGCAGGGAGGTGCAGAGCATGGGCAGGAGGGGAGGAATCAGCATGTGGGGGAGGGGTGAAACAGCCCAGGGAGAGGGGGAGGAAACAGCTGGGAACCAAGAGGAAGCTTGAGGGAGGAGGCAAGAGGTCTATGGGGAGAGCTGATATTGTGGGAGAGAGCACTGATAAAGGATGTGTGAAGCATAAAAAGGCAACTTGGAGAGTGACCTGTTACAGTAAGATGAGGAAGGTGGAAGCAGTATTAACAATTCCTTATGATTATTATTTGTAAAGCACCAACACACAGTGTAGCGCTGTTAGGAAAATGAAAATCAAGGGGTTATTATTATTATTATTATCAAGGGATTGCAGAACTGATCTGGGAGAACGTTCTAAAAGTGGAGAACTCACCATGGAAACCAATGGAATGTTGCTCCGCATCTATAAACTTGCTCCAGAAAAGTTCTCTACATAGTGTTCACCCTGAGCATTTTATTGTGCAATCTGGCGCTGAAACTGTTATATTTCAATCTGTATACAACTACATCATGGTGTTTGCATAAGAACAAAATTGCAGGAACATGTTCTCTGAACAATTGCTGCATGTAGTTGTTAAAGTGGATTTTTCACTTTACTTTTTGCACAACTATAAGTTGGTTATAATTTGTCCTTTTTTTTCTATATAAGGGTGCTCTAAGCACCATAACCACTACAGCTGTTTGTATTTGTTATAGTTCTAAATGTGTTCGGGACACCGTTTAGCTGGTATGTGTTGACGCATTTATGACCAATTTGATTTTAAAAAATCACAGCTGTTTTGTCACTTAAACCCTCTGCATTGGCTCTGCTAAATTTGATGATGGCTAAACTGGATGTCCAAATTAGCTGTCCAGGTTTGGATAGGAATATAAGGTTAAGGCAGAGTACTGAGCTAAACCCATGACAGCCCCAGTCTTGGTCAAACAACTCAAAAACGGTTTGACACCAACCTAAAGACTCTTTTGAGGTTATGTTATGACATGAGTTGTGTTTTGAAAAGTGATGCAAACACGGAGAAGGGGTAGAGTCACTATGCAATGTGCTGACTGGTTTCTATGGTGACCGCCCCACGTTAGAAAACTTTTCAGATCATGACATTATTTATACATAACCTCCTATGTATCATAACCACTACAATGTGATTTACTAGTTATTGT